TGCTGACCTTGCGTTCTACAGTGAAACATCACCCGTGAATCTGGAGAGTTTTTAAGACACACATGGGTGTCAACTCATACAAAATCGAGTCAGGATCGGATTGTTAGGCCTGTTTCTTTCCATCCTTTCCTCTCCCTTGTTCCCCCCGCATCTTGCTGTAGAAACAACGTCTAGATACTGTAGGGCAGGAAAATAAGATCTGTCACGGAACATACATCTTCTGTTTGGAAGTGTCTCTCACGCTTTAAGATACGAACTTTTAATTTTCATTTATTTTGTTGTGTTACCCACCCCCACCCTGAACACACTGGTGGGAATAAGGGCTCTTGGTTTCTTATCTTGTAAAAAGTCTAGAGAGTTAATGCTGAATGCTAATGAAATATGAATTAAGTGGTGCTGAAGAGGTTAATTGTGCTACAGAGTCTTTGTAGACATTGGGTCTGAAATACTGGAGGAGTCAATGGACATAACACAGTGCTTAATAGAAACAGAGAATTAGTGATTCTTACTTGCCTGAGGTAACCATGAGCCTCTGGAATGTCTTGATCTTTTTGCAAAGACCTAGTACAGAAAAGCAATCTTAACAGAAGCCTTGAATTAGAAATAGAGATTTTCATGAGCAGAAAATATCACTGGAAGGATGAGAGGTCACCCATTAATTAAAAAGAATAGAGAAAAACCCTTTTATTTATTCTTTTAGACAAAACAAAATATTTAAAAAGATCAGTGATGTTTCCCTAGTTTACTTTAACAAATTGTAACACACATGTAAAAAAACAGAATACTGTGTGGAATAATAGCAGAGATATTAATGGTTGCTAGCAATTTGTCAAAATATGTTAATGAAGCATTCTATTTTTAAGCTTGTAATATGTTGCTTTTCCTGGCTTGAAGTTCTGTGAGCTATTTTTCCATGTGGTGGTAGAAAAGGAGTGCTTGGAGAGAGGACTGCACTACTACTAGTTTCTGTACCACTTGCCTAAATTATTTTTATACCACATCAGCCATTTTATAAAGTAGAGAAGATACATACATTCTTTGTATGGATAATTTAATATGTCGTTGTGGTGAGGTTTTCTAAATGCTTGATGTCTGGAGTCATGCAATCTTTATAATAGTGCCTGCTTTCTAAATGTGTAAATTTGCTAGTGTAGGGAACTAAAATAAGTTTGAAGTGTAGAATGGTGTGGGGTATTGCAGGTGATCTGTTTCAGATCTTTTTTGATGCAAAAGGTTTAAGTGATTAGGCAGTTTGCTGTGATAATTCTAGTGGTGAACTTTTGGGTTGAATGTTTGTAAATATGAAATTTGAACTTAAGTCTTGAGAAGTAGAAGTTGACTATGACATCACAAATTGAATGGGTGATTTTGAATGAAACACGTTATACTAAATGCATTGTAAATGATGAGTGTTTTTGTATTTGTATATTAGCTGTGAGAAATGCTGTTGGTGCTTTCTTCTTTGTTTCAGAGGTTCTTTGGTTTCCTGGTTTTATTTGCATATTCAAGACAGTTCAGCATATTGGTATTTTTTAAATGGCAGTCCCTCTGGATGTGGGAAGAGGGTGCATATCTGCAAGTTCTCTGCCTGTGCTGTATACCATGAAAATCCAAATAGGTTTGAAAAGGAAGTGTTGCCTCTCACGGTGATATAGTAGGCATTGCGCATGAGGTGGATCTATTATTACTGTGGAAGAACTTTTTATTTCTCCATTTCTAATTGAACTCCCACAGAGGATGGCTGGGACTGTGTAGATCGGTAGCCTTCTTTTATTTTGAACAAGGTTTGTAGTTGTTGCTAATTGATATGTAATTGATATCAGTAACTGAGTGTGGGACAACTGGGTTCAGTTACTGACCCAGCAGAGCAGCGCCGGGGTAACTGGAAGGTGTTTATATGCTGTAGGTAATGTGGGCTTTGCAGTTGCACACATTGAATTTTGTAGAATAAGGGAAAAATCAAGATGTTAATAATTTGCAGATAAGATATTGATGGGTTATATGCTGTTCTGTGAAATTGCATAGTAGTTACAACGATACTGTCAGTGTGTGTGAGGATAGAAGGTCAGATTGTGTACACTCATTCATGGATCTTTGGCAGACTTGTGGTGGTACTTACTGTATATATGGCCATAACTTAGAATGTGGTTATGATTAATGGGTTGGGTTTGTTAGAAGAGTGCCTATAGACAAGGAAATGGCTTTAAAGAAGAGACATTGATTTTATTCTTATAAAAATAAAACACATTTTGTTACCTTTTGTTCTTTTTCGATATAACGACAAGTTATCTTTGGAAGGGATGAAAACTGGCAATGACTTTGCCCTGCATCTCTTGAAGTAGCATATATCAAGCTCAGGAGTTCTCCTTTTTTAGGTCTTATGCACTACTGAATTACACATGTTTATCTATTGTTTCTCTGTATAGAGATGATTTGGATAGTTAAAACATTAATGTTTTAGTTTTAATAATCTGAATATACATTTGTAACAAAATAATAGTATTTTGGGTCATATTTTTCTTACTTGGAAAAGTGTGAAAATTAAGGATAAAAGACCAATGAGAAATTTACAATTAAAATTAGCTCCATTTACGCTACTAAATTCTCTTGAAGTAATTGTTCAACACACTGCTTTTAAGAATTTAATCTGTTTTATGGATGTCCTTTTAGCCATAAAATAGTGCAACAGACAGAAGAAACTTTGCTTAACCATCACCATGTTCCAGAACTTCACTTTGGGAAATTGGATAGATTTATATAGTTCAAATGGTTTGGCTGGAATCATGTTGCCTTTGGATCTGACATAATGTGGAACGAGTTGGTTATTTGCCTCCTTACATAACGTATTTGTTTTTCATTAAACATTTTGATAAGGTCTGATTAAAGTACCATGTATTATTTATGGTATTTCATATGAAAATGAGCTGAAGGGAAAATTCTATCAGCTTAGGTCATTTGCAGAATAACAGCCTCTCTGTGCTAGGAAAAAAAAAAAAAATGAAGAAAAGCATGACATACTCCTGTCAGAACAGGAGACTGCTGAAGGCAGAGAGAAAGAATGAAAAAAGGAGAAAGGGCAGAGAGAGTCTTTGATTCTCCTCCTCCCTCTCTCTTTTGCTCTGTGGTGTGTGTGGGCTTTTATGTTGGTGGTTTGTTTTTTTAGTTTTGGGGTTGTTTGCGGGGGGTGTTTGGTTTTTTTTTTCTGATACAGAACAGCACAGATCACTTTATCTAGGCTGTTCTAGTAGATCAGTCCATGATAAACTGAAAAAGTGTGGGTGCTTCTTAAGCTTACAATCCCTGTATTGTAAGTTTGTGCATGATTGTTTTGGTGTTGATTGCTGAGTTGTAAATACACTGGGTTTGTTGTATTGACTGCTTTTGAAAAGAAACTTGTGTGATAACTGATTCTGCTGGAAAATTGTCGGTTTTGCATGAAGAAGACTTAGTGGATCTAAATCAGTCTCTGAAGCTTGTGTGGGTGCAGGTATGTGTGTGCACATGCACAATGAAAAGGAATATTTTTTAATATAGCACCTCAGTTGCAGTGACTTTTTTATCTGTTTCCAATGAAGAGGGGGGGTATTATTTGTTTTTAAGGGTAGATCTTAATATGAAACCAGTTATGCTGTTGATGAAGTGAGCTTCTCTTGCATGTGAGTTATTTATTTGTTGTTGTTAACATTAAACTGTTGATCTAAGGTGTGGGTTTTTTTTGTGGGAGTCAGCTATCCTAAGAAATAGGTAATCTGAACATTTTCTGCAGTCTTTTTAAAAGGAACCCCTTCAAAAGCTCAGGTGATGCTTTGAGGTTTGACCTTTCCTGAAGAATTAATATTTAATTCATTTGTCAAATTGTAATTAAAAATAGGGCTCTGTTATACCCAAGTTGTGTCTAAGGAGTAAAAAAAAAAAAAAATAAAATATAAACCTGTAATATAGAACCTCAAGGACAAACTGTAATATAAATTATTTGATTTGCAGGTCACATCCTACTTTATTACATAAGGACTAACTAGACCTACTAATGAATAATTATTACTCCATAAAATAAAGGGGGGGGGGGGGGGGGGGGAGAAAAAGCCTGCAAGAGTGGAATACTAATTTGAAGTATCCCTCTCAAAGTAAAAAGTAAACATTACATTCTGAAAATTGCAACTGTAATTTTTCCATGTAACCTGATAGGGCAGCTCTTTAGAATAGATTGACTGGCTGTCAAATATATTTGAAATTTCAGAGGAGATGGGGTTTAGACTAATTTTAAGATCCAGTCTTTATCCAAGCCTGCTTCTCTCCCCCCAAGTAAAGTAGATAGAATATGCCACAGAATTTTGTTTTATTCCTAGTGTTTCTGCTGCAGTGGTTACACAGATATTTCACAGTTCTGCTGTAATGCTTTTATAGGCTTCTCTGGGAAACTAGTTGGTGAATGAAACATAGATACAAAATTAATGTGTATTTTAAAAAACTCATTTACTGACAGCACTGCATATTTGCTAGAAGCCTCTTGACTAGCCAAGATTCTTTCACTTCCCTACTTTGTGCCTTCATACTTTTGTGCTTAGAAGGGAAAAGCCCATTTTATGTCAGGTGTGAGTACTGGGAGGGGGAAAAAAAAAAAGTGTGTGTGTGCGTGCAGAATCATAACAGGCATTCAGTCCCAGCTGGGCAATGACACTAATTGCCCAGATCTCATGGATGCCTGTGATGCAGCGCACTCACTTTCTCTCCTTCCCTGTCCTCTCCAGGGATTTTTAAAATGCAGTATTTGAATTTTGGTGAGTGGTAAAGACCCTGCCCTAGGACCCATTTGACAAATGAGAAGCTGTGCAGCATCAGCACCAGCCGACTGAACCTCACTGAGTCAATCTCTCTCTCTCTCTACTAGTCAGCAGCTACTGTTGTGAGACAAGCTTCAGCTCTCTGTCATTGAGGAAGTTCCATTTGCTCATCAATAGGCTGCAGGCTGTGTCTTTTTTTTTTTTTTTTCCCTCTGTTAAAAATTCGTAGTTTAAACCTACCAAGTTGCCTTAGCCGATGAATTTAGGGATCTAGCGCCGGGGAGAAAAAGGCATTCAAGAAATACTGTTTCTTACTTAAATAATTAAAAGGGAAAAAGCGTAGTGACAAGACAGGGCAAACGTGCTTGCATGCAAGCCCCCTCACTTGTTCTACGTAGGCTTCAGAGCAACACCATGCAGCATCCCCTTACGGGTGCAACCTGCGTGGCACTGCCGAATGTGGGCATGTGTCCCCAGCTCTCCTGTGCCTTGACTTTTATGTACTTACAGCAGGTAAGTTTGCTTAACTTTTTCTTTTCCTATAGTGCCTGCTTTGTCAGCATTGCTTGGGGGATTTGTAATCTTTGAGATATATATTCTGTGAATAGGCTGTATAAATGTCTCCCACTGTGTGGAGTGACTGTTGTGCCTGCACTTAAGAATGGTGAGAGTGAGTAGAAAATGTTTTAACAGAGCATAAACCCCTTTGCATAGCTTCTTTTTTTTTTCTTTCTTTTTTTTTTAAATGACTCTATTGATGCTGTTTGTAGATATTTAACACAGTACTTTGACTGCATTTCTTATGGATACTGTTGCAGAGTTTCAGCCATAAAGGACTGCTCTTTATTCACTTGCAGGCATAAATTATACTTCTAATGTAAATGTGCCCAATGGCAATTTTGTTTAAGCCTTCTTTGAAGCCAGGAATTTTAAGTCTGTGTGAAACATGCTGCTGATTAAAATCAAGCTTATTTTTAGTTCACCAAAGAAAAAAAGAAAAAAAAAAAAAGCTGTATCTGTGCAGAAATAATACTTCTATCACTGAAGTATATTGGAATGGGTTTTAAAAATGGTCTGATATCAAGGAAAATAATACCAATTTCTAGTCCATTTTTAAGATTTTTTTTTTAATTCATTTCTTGTAATTTTTGCCTCAGGGCTTCGGGTTTTTTTCCTACATATTTCCACCCCTCTCCTTCTCCAGTTATTTATTATTTGCTACCCTCTCTCTGTTACAACATGAAATAAATAACTGGATAATAACACATTCTTTTTTAAACTCGTATTTTGGAATTGTGATTGTATTCTACTATATTTTATAACTGAGTCAACCATTATAGAGGGTCATCTAGTAAGCATGTAGAGCAAAGACAGAAATATGTTATAATGCAAAAAAGATTAATCTTGTTTATTCTGTTACTTTCTGCTGAAACTTCAGAGAAAAAAATTCTTGTGCCTACTGTAACAAATAGGGGCATTTCTTCCAACTTCCACTACAATAGTTTATATGCATATTGACTTCCATGAAACCATCTCTAACTTTATTTCTTTATTTACAAATGCCTGAATGATGTTTTACAGTATTTCTTTTTGTTCCTGAAGATGAGATAAAGTTAAAGCTTATTTTTATTTCAGAATATTTGTTTTCTATTGCTGCTGAGAGAATAGAACTTAAATGTTTACAGATTATAAACCCTTCTGTAGCTTTGTTTTCTTTCCTCCTTCAGTAGTGTAGGCTAAACCATTTCTGACTTAGAGCATGGGAGTGAGTTCATAATAACAGATTCTTGTATACGCCCTAGATTATACATGTATGTGGGAGGGATTCGTATGTGTGCAATTAGAATTTGCATCAGATAAATATGATTTATTTAATATTTAAAGAAATTGCATGTCTTAACTAAAGTGCATTCTCTTAGTACTTTTGTATTCTGGATATGTTTTAGAAATTACATTTGTAGATCAGTTTTAATGATCCAGTGTGACTTATGCACTTAGTATACAAAATGTACTCCTGTGTTTTGTTGGATTTGTTCATTTGAGTTTGGCAAACAGCAATTTGTATGGTAAAGATCCAGCTTTTGGAAGAAAAAATGTGAATTAAGGTGAGAGGTCAACATGGCCACACAAGGAGCTGATAAAAGATAACTTAAAGATGAGATTAGGTGCTAAAATAACCTTCCTGTATGAGGTATTGCAGTATCATTATGCAGACACATCTATAGTATAACACTGCTCTAAGGTTTAAGAAACTGCAACCATAATGATTACTTTAAAATAGTGAATTCAATTCCATCTATTCCATTTGAGAGAAAGATGAGAAGTGATTGCTAATGCACTTCACAAAGTGCTGTATCTAGCGGATAATTTTTAACTCTTTAAGTGGATTAACTGGCACACTGAGAGTATCTTTTTTTTCTCTTTTTTAAGTGTTGGCTTTCTCGCCTGGTTAATCCTATTGTCAGTTTGGGATCATTCTGCCTCTAGTAATCACAATTATGTTTAAAGTTTAAAAGTCATCTGAATGCCTGATGATAATTTTCACAGGTTTAAAATTCTCTGCTTGTTTCTTTTGATCGCTGGTTGGCATTTTAGATATTCTGGATTCCTAGAGAGGTAATTTTCATCTTAATCCAGATATGATTTATTGTTTTGTGTATTTGGTTAAGTATTTCTTAGGAACAATTTTACTTTATCTCAAAATTAGTCAGGCAGAAAGATAGTACTGTAGTGACATCGCTTACAAAGCTAAGGTAACATGGTTCTAGTTTCAAATAGGAAAGACTAAGAACTGGTTTATATTTTTGAAAAATATTAATAAACTTTTACCATGCCAGTCTAACTGGGCTTAGTTAGTTTTGGTTGTTCGGGGTTTTTTTTACTATTTTTCCCCATATCTGATAATTTCTAGCAAGCCTACAAAAAGATTTATATGTTTAGGGCACATATCACTATTTCAGTGAAACTGTAGATATTACAAAGTTGTGTATTGATCTTAAATACTGATAACTTAAGAGCTTTATGTGGCAATTTAATAACTAGTGATTTCCCCCTGCCTGTGGACCCAGTGACCAGCAGTATAGAGACACTATGTGAACTTACCGAGGACTCTATAAATTGCACTTCAAATATGTCTGCTCACTTGCACCTCAATTAAAATTAATTCAGATATATATATTATAAGTAAGCTCTTAGTTTTTAAACTTTACTATTTAGAATCTGTTAAAATATTTGTTCTCTGGTTTTGTGTGTATCTGCCATATACCCTAGTATTCTGTCTCATGTAACTTTTGTAATTGGATAGGTCTTTTCTGAAAGACTATAAAAGACATCATGTTCTTCTCAACTTGGGCAGATGAGCCCTCCTGACAATAAATATTTATGTGGCCACAATTATGGTAGTTTTCTGTGGAGCTGTAGTAGTCATTTTGGAAAATCCGTTTTTTGGAAGTCATTTGGTATTGGCCATTATTTATTTGCTAAAGTAACACTGCTTCGTCAGTTTATTTAGTATAAATGGATAAAGTGCTTTCCACAGAGTACATACAGAAGTGCTCTACTACTTGTCCAGGGTGAAAAACTTAAGTATTTGCTCTGATACCTGACAGATTATGCACATATATAATGTTTTAAGAGCTTAGTGAGGAACTGAATCTTTTTTAAAAACAGTTTGTGCGTACAGGATGCTAAAAAACATTTAAAGCCTAACTGTTGAAAATAAAATTGAAAATAAATAAAGTTCAGAGGCCTAGTTCACATTATAGATGAACTGTTAATCAGATATTCACTAGAAAAAGACATCAGAAACTGAAGGATGCTTCCAAGGTAGTTAGGCTATTTGAAATGGTCTGAAATATTTGGCTGTTCTCTTACTAAGATGCTTCTAACTTTAGAAATCCAGAAAGAGTTTGCAAACATTAGAACTGAAATGACTGTATCGGTGGCAGCAACAAACGGAAAGAGAATACATGGTTTTGATCTGCAAGTTTTTACTGTATCATGATAAAGATAGGGACAATTGGGAAAATAGTAGATATGTTTGGATTAGAATTTTACCTGGTGTCAGTATTTAAAGATACAGGAAAAGGGAACTTGGATTTGCAGTGCACTCTATCATTTGGTTATATTTATGGTGTTAGCAACAGCTAAATACATCTATTTTCTTCTCCTTACTAGTGCATATTGATGCAAGAAATAATTTCTGACCACAAGCTTAAATCAAGTGCTAGCGGGAAGTAATTTTTGCAGCAATTTTTTGACCACTTGTAAATTGGGATTTAGCATGTATTAATGGAGGCTTAGTTCTGTTAACTGATGTTTCCCTGTGACAGATACTTGCCTGGACGTAGAGTTATTTAGCTGTTATTTTCTGAGTAAAGTCACAAAGTCACCTGTGGTTTTGAAGCATCACATAATATTCCATGTCATTCTGTACAGTGCTGCTGTCATTATTTTAAAACTGGTACTTTTTTTCTTTCTGTTTAATGATGATAGATGTGCTTTGTTTTAAATAGTGAAGTGGTTTGTACAAAGGGTAATTCCTCTTAAATGGAGCAATTGCTCATAGTGGACATTCACAGATCGAAAACAATTGAACTGAAACTTCAATATCAACCTTTTCTGTCTTTAACAAGAAAGTAGTTCACGGTACAGCTCTTGTATCAATGGTGAAAAAAATCTACCATGAAAACAAAACAAACCCCAACAAACTCCCCATCTCTACCCCAGCTATTCCATTAGTGCTTACATGGTAAATTAGTGTAATTTTATTTGGGCTTTAAGCATTATGGCTATAGAGAAAAGATGAATTCCCCACTCAGTTACTTATGTCATGCTTCTAGATCTCATGATTTATAGGAGCCTGAAACACTTTTTATCAAATTCTTTCTTCATGGCTTAATTCAGTGTTGATTTATTTGATAGCCTTTTCAGTTGATGTAGTCAATATCATCAATAATGGAATAAGGATTAGAACAGATTATCTTTGTGCTAAAGTTATGTAAAGAATTAGAATGGATGGGCAATTCCTGCCTACAGTTTACCCCTTTTATAGAGCACAAGCATACCAGTCGCTGAATGCCACCATTACAGTTGCAGTTCTGAATATGTGTGTTTTGCATTTTGTACTTCAGTGAGCCTTCAAAGGAGCAGTTGTGTTAGTTGAATTCAGTAACTGATGTTTTATGATGACACTGTTTAAATCTATCATGAGAACACTGCCTTTCTTTACTAGTCCATTTATAGTACTCATTCACTCTGTGGCTCTCCTGTAAGATCAGTTATCTGACCTTAGCTCATGAAAATTTTAGGCATCTGTTCGCTTATAAACTGGAGTCTTTGCACAGTTTTGTTCCCCGGTCTGCTATTTCATGACAGTTTTCATGTGAGAACATACAACCTCTGCTTATGACTGCATGAGTGAAAAGAAGTCCATGTTACTAATGCTCACTCACCATCTGTTTTTCTTACAGCTGGGCCTTGAATAATTGTCCAGTAGCTGATGGACCAAGGGT